GTCCTGGCTCTTCACGGGATCGCCCATCACGTTGAGCCTGCGCGGTCTCAGCATCCGGTTTCGAAGCATTTGTGACGCATGCAACGCTTGTGAGCAGCGCTCAACATTCAATAACAGGTTCTACCATCATGATCATGAAGTTTCATACGGAGCTTCCAATGATCATGAAGAAAAACCGACTACCAAATGCAAGTGGCCAATCAAGGTTTGGGGCGTTGCAATTGTGAGACTCACACAAGCGCGGAAGGCAACAACGGCTGTGAGTACTCAAGTGCATAAGCAAGTCAACTTCATTCTACCCCGAAATCTATTGACTTGGAAGACAGCCCGGTACTACCCCAATGGAATCGGAGTCCCCCGCCTTGAGATGGGCAGCGAGGCGCTGCTTGGCCCGGGCCTTGGGTGCAACCACATTCCATTCGAGCCGCAAAACCAAAACCGGTCTGAAAACAAACATCTGCTACACGGGCTCAAAGACTAGAATGGGGCGTGGGGTGCTGCAAAACCAAATTCAGTCATGGCCATAGTAGCAACATGTTAGAATTTGCTCAGCCCCTCATATTGCACATATGTTCAGTGGCGGTCTGGTTTGTGGGCTTTAGAGGTTTGGGGATTCTTAAAATTCAGTCTACCGCCTGCTAAATTCTGGTCTATGTCTAGCACGATTTATAACGAATAGCGTCTGGCAAAAAATAGTGCACCTCTTCCATAGACTGCCTTATACAGACTTCTGTTATGGAATCACATCTCTGCCTCAGTCGCAACCAGTGACTCCAGTAGGACCATCTTGAATCTTTAGTGAGGAAAGCCATGAGGCAAAAATGACAAAAGCAAGAATGAAGCCAGCTCATCAACAGTCCCTTTCATGGGGGTGCACATGTCGAATGCTGCGCTTGTCGCTTTCCCACGCCTTTATTTGGTTTGTGGTGAAAAGCGCGCCAAAACCCACCATTTGGAGGGAGTCCCTGGTTGTGACACATGTTGCAGTTGGCTCGCGCACGGAATCCTTGCGTTTATTGGGCACTGCAAGGAAACATGCTGGGCGGAGAGCTTAACCAGTGTGCCCCAATCGTGCGGCGACTTTCCGAGAAAACATGTGGCTGCGTACGGCTTGGATCAGACTGTCGCGTAAGCCTTGCTATCAACAACTTGCATGTATTTGACCTGCTCCTTTCCAGTAAAAACAAGGGGCTAGTTGCTCTTCACATTCCTTTCAAACAGTTAACCAAAAGAAACAAAAAACAGAACACAAACGACTCCGTGCTGAAACCAACCGATTGCTTGTGTATTACGCCCCTGCTGTCCAATCCCCAACCTGCCTTTTGACAACCAGTTTGCCCCTTGCTCTGCGGTCAGAACAGAAACAGGTTGGGACTCGAAAAGAACCGTTGCTGGTTCTGAGTGGGGAATCTCCTTGTTTGGAGAACTCGTACAGTAGGGATCTTTCACGAACCACCAGTTGGATAGTTCAGTTCGGAACCGCTGATTTCTTGCTGAGAACCAGCAAGAAACAGGGTCTTGAGCTCAGTCCCAGCTGCATGCGATTGGGCTCCCGGCGGGCAGTTTGCTGATGGCCTGCGTCGGACAAATGGCCCAAAACACCCTCTGTCAAGGGTACGCATTTGGGACCTGTGAAAGGCAATCAAGAAATGGACCGCCGTTTGGGGTTCGATGTTGGGCAAGCCCCAAGGGGAAGCTACAAACGACCAAGGTTGCTTATGACAATGGAAGGGCTCTTGGAAGGGAAGGTCTATGAGAAAGGCCCATTGCCCTTGACCCCGAACAAGCAGATTGGGGTGCTCCCCGCCCAAAGTGAAGGATTCGCTCCAAAACAGGACCACCACCTAAATGAATCAATAAATCCGGGATCAACATTGTTAACCTCCAATATTGGACTTTAACATTCTGGAGAAAGAACCGTGCACAGAATGTCGGGTGCAAAAGACTGGGTGTGTGTTCGCTCAGATATGCACTCTTAAGTTGAGTATGAGGTTCATCCGCGCCCGCCCACTAAATGTCCCTTACCACAACCTTAACAACCAAACTCTAACACTCCAAACACTAAAAATCCCGAACCCTGACAACCCTAGGTCCAGCCCAAAACAGGTACATTGTGTCGCTCGCGCTGGCGGTTGGTTCCATGTCTACGTGGTGTTTGCTGCCAACTCACTAATATGGCAAGTCGACATGTGACCGTGTTGTTTTTTTTTTTTTTTTTTTTTTTAAATATGAGTGTAGATTGCACATTGTAGTTGTGTTCAAGTCAATGTTGCAATGTCGTTGCAAACAATTCCGCAAATCAATTTATTTCGCTTAGGCAACATTTCTAGAATTGACTTTGGTGCAATCAACTAGGTTGGAACAGAACAAACAACGGCTGAATGAACAATGAACGTTGTCTTGCCACATTTCAATGCTGAACTTAGTTACCTAATCACTCTGAGACAAGCGATGCTGGCAGAGGCAAGCAGGGAACCACATGGATGATTATGGAATCGATGCAACCTGACAACCGGTTCAGCTGCGTGTGCGTGTGTGTGTGTGTGTTCTGAAACGGAAGCTGCTTCTTTGTGATCACAACATCTCACAACACTATGTCCTGTTTTACGCTGTTTGAAAGAGTTTGGTTTCGAGTGCTTAGACTGCACAGCCAGAGTCAGGCAAGCATCTATAATTTGAACATAGAGATAGATAGCTGAACACACTACACACTATGCACATTGTCAACCATGGTGTCGCTCCCGCAAAAACACATTACATAGGATTAGGCGACTGGGCCATGCCAGAATTGCATTGGTCTACAGAGACATTCATACTATCTCATGACCATTCAAATGTAATCCTAGCCCACTCTCAATCAATCACCCATCCAAAACAGGTTTCAGCAACCCGAAATGTCTCAAACGTGAAAATGCTGAACACGCTGCGAGATGAGATAAAGGCTAAAGTACATCAGACATGCCCTGCGCTCGAAAACAACCAACACCCACGGATCAACCTGTGATTTTGCCAGCCTGATGTCTGCAAGCATACATCATGCAAGCAAAAGGTGTCACGAAGCTGGAATCCCTGCAATGACTGAGCCACTGCAACTCTGGGTCTGCCAGCTACACCCGTTGTACTGGAGCCTGGCATGTGGGAAGGGGCCAATCTATAGATAAACTTAGAAATTGGCAAACATCGTGCCTGCATTGTGGCCTGGAAAGGGGCATATGTCTTCTCATTTAGATTTGCTTGGCTGGGACGCTCGGGCAAGGGCAGGGCTGAAAACCTATGTTGGGTATTCAAAGGCCAAACATACTGAATCCGGTCGACCCATCCCAATCAGCAAGGCAGCTTCTATGAACACCTTGCGATGGTGAGTTGGTATTGCCAAACAAACAACTATTTGACCGTTTTCAACCTTGCCTGATGCGAAAGTCGTGCGAAGCAAACTTGAACGCATATTCATCATGCGTGCAGGAAATGGGCAACCTCAAGTTGCTTCTCTAATGGACCAGCCATGACAGGAGTGCCGCTGTGGTTCACACAGTGACACTGTGGCCTTGCCGCTTCAAGTCCAAATTCCCTTGGTCTGAGCAACATGCCTAACAACACGTGTCGGGGCAAAAAAATCACCAGCCTACAAGATGAATCACCCCATGAAAGGAAACTTCACTGGTACATCGGCATTCGGACATTCATGTTGCACCCGCAATGTGCTGGAGAGCCCCTGCAAGAGACTGGTTTCGTGTTGCCCTCTTTGGAGAAAAAGGGATTCGACGAAAACAAGGTTTTGCGCTATCAGAACGGGGCTAACCTCCCACCATTAACACGGAGGTCAGGCTTTATGTTAGCAGGAGTACGTGCAAAAACAAGGGCAAGCATATTGGTTTCCCGTTTCGTTTTCCTCTAAACCAATATGAAAAGGGTATTCAGCCTCAAAACAGCACACGCCAAGCTTCAACGTGCCTGAGCCCGCTTCTCGGCGGTCATTTGCAGCATCTGCTCCCAAAGCCTCTGCCAAACGACCAGCAAGCCCACCAGCCAACCAAACGCTGCCGCTACGCCAGTTGCTGATGCAAGTGTGGGGGGGATTGGATAAAGTGGGATTATCCAAAAAACAATTCCAGAGAGTGAGCTGTTCCGAAGATTGAACTAAAATCCAATTGTCACTAACAAGTCAAGGTGGGTAACCACGAGTCTCGACAAAAAGCGTGTGTTGTTAGGTAGCAAAGACCCCAACCCGGGCGTTTTTTCGGCTGTTCCTCAACAATACCTCCTAGAAAACAGGTGGTCCGAGTTGCCTGTAAAGTTGCCTTCCAAATGGCACGCAATCAGACGCCCCATTTGGCTGAAGAACAAACACACTTGCCCTGCATGGGTTGGAACACATCCCAGGAAAAAGCCTGCAACGAGGCAATGTGAGATACAATCCCAGTCACGCTACCACGCAATTTGCCTCGGAATGGAAAAAAAAACAAATTCACAAGGCGCCTGGTGGCTTCCTTCTATTCGTAGCAAAGCTTGACTGCAAAGGTGCCTCACAGGGAGGGTCTAGGGCAAGGGGCTTCAAGCACACCAGCTTGCAGAACATGGAACACGGACAATTGCTGAGGATACGCGCTGAAGAACACGGCTTGTTGCAAATACAAAAGACGCAATATCATCTGTCGTCGCAGGCTACAGAGTACTGTTTCAGGCGCGGAGACCTGTTGCGTGACACCGTTAATTACAACGCTCACCGCAGTTGATGCGGCGCGGCTGCTTTGGCTGCCGGCCGCACGGACAGTGAGGTTCTACCAACGCAGTTCTCTGTGCTTCCGTGAGCTGTCCGGCCGTTGTGGGCTGTGAGGTTGCATCTGATGTGACGCTGGTCGTGTTTACGCATTGGAGGAACACTGGCTTTCGCGTCGCCTCAAACAGATGCTCGCTGCTTGGCACTGTCGCAGCGCTGGCTTTGGATCCACATGTAGCGGCAGCTTTCTGCGTGCTGCGCACGCGCGCACACAGGTTTTTATTTAGCACAAGGTTTCGTGGCAGCCGAAGGCAAGGCGACTGCTGGCTCCCCAGCGATTTTTCTGCTGCAAATTCCATTGGCGCAGGGAAAGCAAAGGCGTCTTTACACCCAGGCGCCTGTGAGCAAGCTGACCTAGTTGGCGCTTGTGTATTCCATCAGGCAAAAGCTATCTGTTCTAGCAGCAAGAAAAACACCAAGCTACATATCACAAATCTTCCGAACAATGTGCCTTTTTGATTCCTCAAAGCCATCTGTTCTAGCAGCGAGGAAATTACCAAGCTAAATATCGCGCACCTTCTAAACAACGCGCCCCTTTGATCCCTAAAGATAAACTGGGGCTGCCTTCTGTCGGATCAAACACGTTTTTTGTGTTTTTGTTTCCCGGCCTGTAAAGGGGATACTCTTCTTTGTGAATACCTTCAACGTATCAACAGGGAGGTGCATGCTTCTTACATTTTCACTTCACGACCTCAGAGCACCTTTTGCCCAACGGAAAAAAAAAACAAGAAAGAAAAAAAAAACATGATTTGTTCTGGTCCTTTTTGCTTACATACTGGAAACCGTCCCGCTTTTTAGTGTGTTTTGGGGCAATGATCATCTTCGTGTTGGCATGAGCAACCTTCTTCCGGTCGGTGACCTTCCAGCCCTGGGGTTCTTCAATTGACGTGATGATTGTGTTTGCAGGTGATTCTTGTAGTTCTGTTGTTTCAGCATATGCAATCGATATCCTCGCTATCTGGCTCAAGCCTTATGCATATTTTTGGCGCAAAGCTTGCCGTCCATGAAAGAGAAAGCTCCCAGAGTAAATACTATAACTAGGGACCTATCCTTGGAGATTTATATTGGGTTCTTCGGGACCTCCTATTCTGACCCTCAGGGGGTCGGAGTAGGGGGGGGGGGGGTAGGCACTGATTAAGCGGCTGTAGCCGAAGAAGGGTGCGCAAGAAAGTGTGCTGCCTTGAACTTGACCGGGTCAGAGGGCAACTTGCAAAAACAGCTTCGGGGGGATGATGCCAAAATTGAAAACGGGTCACGATTTTGCCATTGACCGAGTCCCATTTAGCCTGCTACTCGCAGGTGATTCTGCCCGTGGACTGCTGAAAACTGGGCCGGTAAACAGTCCGTACGGCTTTTTGTGACCCTCGAAGTATGAAATAAGATAATGCTCAGTGACCCTGGCAGAAAGCGAAATGGAATGTTCATCCTTTGAAGCGATTCCATGTTTAGTGGGTGCCGAGGAAACGGAAAGGAACATACAGGGAGCTACTGAACAACTGGGTGTCAAATAGGGGTCAAAACAATGACACAATTGCCTCCCCCTGTGATTTGCTTTCGGGAAAATTCCCTCCTTCCAACAATCAAGGAAGTGGACTGGTGGCCTCCTGCCAGATTCGATCTTTGCTGGAGGGAGTTCAACAATTTTAAATGGGTTGCTTACCAAGCACCCTGTCCAAGGCCATCCTTCGGGACGCGACCAAAGGGTCCACACAACCTCCAGTTTCTTAGAACGCTCAGGGTTTTGATACGAAGGGTTCTGAGAGCCATTCGGGTGAGGGGGGGTGGTCTTGCTGACGAGCTGGCCGGTGATTGCAACCTCCATTTTGCGCCATCCCCTTTGCTCGTCCCTAATTTGATAGGTCCAAAACATCTGGGATACAACGTTGTTTCTTTTGTCCGACTCATCTGAAACCCCACGAAGTTTGCCACCTCTTCATGCCGAGCTGCTCGCCCACCGTCTTCGCCTTGGCCTTCGGCCGCGGCTTCGGGGCCGGCACGGAGGAGCGCGCCGAGCTGGGCGCGGAACGCGCCAAGTTGGGCGGCCGCATCACCTGACCGGGAAGGAAATAGGATGAAATAGGTAATACCAATCAAGTGAAACAACCCGAAGGTAAACCAAGCCCTAGATGAAACAACCAACATACACAAACCACTAGGTGAAACAACCAACGTAAATCAACCCCTATAGGTGAACAACCCTAGGTCAACCAACCCGTCGGAAACCCAAGCTACGTGGTTCCCATCAGAATCCACCTTGGGGATGCTCGCAAAGGCCATCTCAATGGTCTCCTCCATGGTGCGCCTCCTGCGGCCAGCCCAGTGACCGAACCCTCTGGAGCCTGTGGGGGCCAAACCAGTGGGAACCCAGCCAAAACAGGGAATCGACTGACTGAACAATCAATCAAACAACTGGGAGCTTGCCTGACTCAATCAAACAACTGCTCCCGCTACCCCACAAAACACACAAAAACACAACCAAAGTGTTCCGCAAGGGAGGGGAGGGTATCGTGTGTGCAGAGGGGTCCATCAAAGCTGGGAGTGACTTGACGACGAAGCTGGCAAACAGATTGGAAGCTTGGGAGCATTCGTTACAACAACGCAGAACTTGGCATAAGCAACACCGTGAGATGATTGTGAGACACATCTAGCGGGTTGACCGTTTAGCAGGCAAGAGATGCTTATCCAGCCAAAGCACCCCACGGTGTGCCATAGTTGAATCGGACAAAAATGGCACTGGTCTAAGCCAAGTAGTTCTCCGGATCTGTCCATTGTCTTATTGAGCTGACAGCCAGGAGGCCTACGAGTATGAGGATGCCCGCTTGTACCGACAAGGTCTCGGACGCGGTTTGATGCAGTGCTTACTGAGTAGAAATGTGATAAAGTGTAGTGCGGAATCAATGGTTGTGTCGGAGGTTGGTTGCCGCATGTTTAACCTTGTTTGAGGTTAAATCATGCATCTATCGCTGACCCATCCAAATACGTGTGCTGCTCACGTAGATTGCAGGTGGGGAAACCCGGAGCTTCCCAACACGCCTGACTAACCAATGCACGAAGCAGCCGAAACCGAAACCCGCTGCTCGCAGGCTGAGCCTCTTCCGGCCAAACTCTTTGGCGGCCATTGGGGCTGGATCCGGCGCCGGGGGATGTGCGAAATTCGCGAAAATGTCATCAAAGGTCCTGGCACAGGGAGAGGGTCAGGGTGAGTTAGCCCAAGGTGCGGCCCCGGAAGCAGTGAATCAGATCCAACTTAATCTGAAGGGCTAACAGCTAAGCATGGCGAACCAGCGAAACATACCTGAAAAGTTTCAGTGATGTTTGTGACCTTGCACCATTGGACAAACACGGGGTCGTGCATCGGTATGTCGTCAGTGTGGTGCAGTGGTTGGCTTAAATTTAAATGACGGGCATAGCTTGCTTTTCTTTAACGGAAACAAAAGGGGTAGCCGGGTCTAACAACATGCTTGGATGGGCCGATAGCCTTCATGAAGTGAAACGGAAGCCCATCTACCAGTGGCATGGCAAAGTGAAAACGTCAGAGCTTTGCTAAAGTGTGCCTGGAGATACTGTGGCCCTGGGCACCTTGCTATTCACAAAACCACATTGTTGTGGCACACTAAGTTCAGCAGCATACACTTGCTTTCATCGGCGGCATAGGGGCAAACCCAAGGAAGTCGCTGCAAGGTGAAGAAGAGGCATTGCCACTTACATGAAGGGTTATTAACTACTGTTTTGTGAATTGGAAATGCTTCTGCGAAGGCCAACTCCACATCTTCGTATTGAACTGCTCAGCACAACATGGGGTGCTTGTTGCTTTAAGCGGATCAGTAGAATCAAGCTCAAGTTCAAACACTCTGCCCGTATCCAAAGCTTGAAAAGAAAGCCAAAGGAAAGTATACGCTATTGTTTAACGTCACAAAGATATTGTTATGTTCTTGTAAGGAAAGCCAGGGGAGCAAGACGTTGTCTCTCTGAGCTCCCTTCCATTGTAGGTAGCGAAGTCGAATCGGCATTTGGAATATACGGATAGTAATTAACACCAATTTATCTCCATGCTTGCTGGGCAAAACTACATGTTTCAAACGGGGTCCCTACCGGATGTTTCAGTTGGAATGTTCAAAATGCGGTCCCGGATCCCGAATCCTAATGCGGATTCCGGAGTGGGACACCATTAAGGCAAACCACGACCATCTGGCATAAGGATCTTGCGGATTGATTTTGAACAAGCCAGCATAAACCTGGAACAAACGGCACGCCAAGGGCTCGCGCGTGTTTGGTCCAGCCTAGCAAAGGGGAAGCTCGTCTTCGGCGGCGTGAAGCTCGCCGGCGTGAAGCTCGCCGCCGCGTTGAGCTTGGGCAGGTCCTTGACCAGCGCCTGGCGAAAACTTCCCTGGATCACCCCAGCACCTGGCGGATTATTTTTTTTTGGGGGGTTGCGTCCGCCAAAAGTGTTTTGTATTGCCCCGAAGAAGCAAATGCCCGAAGAAGCTGAGGCCAAGGTAAGGTCTCCCAAACAAGCCAGCGTTCCGTTTGCATCATCTTGTATCCTTGTCAAGTTGGTGGCAATGAAATGCTCCGCAAAGCAATACAATGTTGCAATGATGTTTGATTGCATGGAATGATCAGGTGCTAATCGGCGATGTTGGCTAAATCGGCAAGCCCTGTTTGCGCTGCCTTTGTTCAAGGCATACGGCATGCCTGGAATTCAATTGTTCAGCTCAACCCCCCAACTGCCCTTGGGCGCAAGGGGTAGAGAATGCAAAAGGCATGGAGCAATGGAGCGACGGTCAACATGGAAGCCAACAGGGGAACCAAGCCACCAGCTCCTCAAAAAGGAAAGTCCTCTTCCCAAAGGGCGGCACTTCATGGAACCACAAAGAGAACATTCAGCCTATCGTTTCCCAAGGCTTTCTGACACTGCCTCCTTTCCGCTGCGCGCCTCATAGGCGGTTTGCACCTTGCGGAAGCTGTCCACTGAGCCGCCCTTGTCCTCGGGTTCCGCTCTTTGCTCTGGGAGATGGTTGCGCCACATGTAGCATTTTCCAGTGGTCCAGTGGACAGGGGTATATCAAACTGAAGAGAACAGGATGCCACTGGACTTGTACTGGGCTGATCATTTTGCCCGACATTGAGAGGCTCCCAACCAGATCGCGGTCTTTGGGTCCGGCCAGTGATACCAGTTAGAGTTGATTCACAAAGCCGTCATCAACAAATAGCAAATATGTGCCCATGCCTAGTTGCAAATTATTAAGCACATCCTATGTCCTTTCCATGGTGAGATTGGTTGGTGGCTCGAGTAAATGGCTATCCCCTTCCTCATTGAACGCATGCATCCAAATGTCAAGGCCTTGCATCCAACCAAGACTCTGGCCGTTGATTCAGCCACCACATCGCGCAGCCCGGTAGAGCTTTGCGCAAGTGAAACAGTGCACTCGAATGTATGAGAGCAAACCCCTGCACTTGGTGCTGCCCGAGGCCGCATCCCCATATCCAATTCAACACGTTTCAATTGTGCAACTGAGCATGGTTCTTCCTGGCTTCCGTCCTTTCCTTACATCTGTCCATTGCTGCACTAGAGAAGTCTTTGTTTATTGGCCCACAGGCTCGCCCAAAGGAAATATCCCAAAGTCACATGCCTCACCGAGGGCCAACCACAAATCACTCGTCAAGTCGGATGTTCAACATGGCCAAAAAGTATCCTGCTAAGCCACAACACCTGGTAAATGTGAGACTCTGACCATGACAAAACCGCATCCCTTTCAGCATCTCAGGCCCTTGGGCAACCTTTCTTCCAAGGCGCCGGGTGCGTCTCGAGCACCTTCCGCTTGTACGCCGCCCGCAGCTGCTCCTCGCTGCACCCAGGCGCCAGACCCAGCACGCCTCCGGTTGGGCAACCGAAAGCGGGAGGACTCGATCTGGACAAAAGTATTAAACGTGGGGCTCGTCCATGCAAGGGGCAGGGTCCGCCCAATACCAACTGTTGTTTTGTCTATCGTATATTTTGAGTTTAGCATTTTTTACATGGCAATATATCCTTTTTTAATCAAGGGTTGACACCATAAAAGGGGTATTTGGAGCAGAGGGTACCCACCACCTCGCTTCCTACTGGGACACTCTGGGAACACACACACAAACAAACAAACAAACAAACAACCAAACACTGGGCGCTAAACAGGGTGTCTGCAACAATTCAACAGTTACCCAACCCATTTTGCTTTCTTTGGGAAAACTTGAACATAAGTTCCACTTTAGTCGATGGGAGGTTCAAACTCTCCCCTGTTGCCCAGTGGCCCTGTCTGACAAAGGAAACCCTTCTTTGGGGTTGACCCCCACCAAATACAAAGGGAGAAATGGTGCCATTGAACAACCGAGCAGCCCGTACAGGGGCGTCAGAATTGTGTGCTTCATTTGTTTACCTATTGACTATCTTTCAGGCAGGTTATCTTTGCACAGTACTGTGCCACTCTGGCTGCGGGAAGGAAGCATTTTCGAGGAGAATCCAATTACTCCAGAGTTTCCTCAACCTGGTTGACTGAAAACGGGGCCCGACACCAAACGTGGTGAGACTGCCCCAGGGCCGTTGGGTGTAGAAATGCCGAAATGCCTTGTACTTACAAAATTATCCGGCGAGGGACACCCCAAGACCCGACGAAATGTCTCTGCATGCAGCAGGCATGCTTCTGCGTCTCAATCTTTATCCTGTCCCATCCACTTTGTCTCACGTTGCAGGGTTCACGACCATCTCTGTTAGCCAAACAAACCAGGTGTTTCGACGGTGGTCAACGTGCAAGCGGGCGTGGCTAGAAAGATGCGCTGCGCACATGAATGGCAGGCCCTCTACCTAAGGGTCCAAGTAGCTTCTGAGGTGCTTTAACCCCCTTCAACCCCTCAAAAGCCATCCTCCTCAAAGGGTCGTGTGTAAGGAATCCGGAGTCAAAGCCTTAACCTTTTGGAGGCATGACTCGACACAGACCGAATCTGTGAAGTCAGAACATGACACCGTCGGCGTCAGGAAGCTCAGCATTGGAAAACAAAGGCCCAAGGCTTCATACTCTTCAGATCTTCTTGCAACAGCCAAAAACACACGCTGTGTAGAGCAATATCTTTTTGGGAGCAAGTTGTTTTTTGGGTTGCAGGTGACCGTCGAGATCCACATTCCAGGGGCAGCATGTGTGCGAGACAGCTGAAACCTGATTGTCTGTGCTCAGAATCGAATCCCACAACGTGGCTTTCTCGTGATCAGCAGGTCAACAAGCAGACATGCTGCAAGCAGATTTGCTCAGTCTCCAGCTAAAGGCTCGTAAGACAGCTGAATTTTGCTGGGGATGTGACTTTGGTCTTTGACTGTTACGCAAGTCGTTGAAGAAAGTCTCGGTTTTGTGCCCAAACAAAGCCATTCATGTAATTGGCTCATCCTCCGGCAGGGCAAACCTTCGAAGCTGGGCTCATGGGAAATTCATATACCCGGGCCACATTGAAATACAGCACTTGTCTTGTGACTACCTTTGGCGGCTGTATAGACAAAACTGAAAGATGATTCGTGTATCCGCCCAAAACCAAACAGGAGGTGTCGAAAATTCAGTACCGAACGGTGTGAGCCAACCTTCTGAACGCTGAACGCCTTCACAGGGTTCCCTTAATTTCCGTTTCACCAAGAAATCTCACAAATGTTCTTGGCAACCAACGGATGCCTCTTCACGCCCAGGAATCCCTTGCAACAAGCCTGGACCATGGAGAAAAACGACTAGCATATTGTAAGATTTGCGCAACCCCTGTTTGTTGCAAATTGGGATGGCAAGGCCAGAGCAAACAAACGGATCATCGCAGAGCTGAGCCGAAGAGAGAGGCAAGAACCCCAGCATCACCACACAATCACCAGTAGAAAAAGGCTCACATCACCAGCTTCATGACCGTCCGCATCGCAAGAATCACCAGCCTGCATCACGAGCACATCGCCAGCAAGGCCAGCATCACTAGCACGGCCAGCATCACCACCAAAATAAGCCCAAACACTGCAAATACTTCGCAGCATTAAAATGTGAGACCCCAAAAAACATGTTCATCCAAGGTTCATTCTTCGAATGCATTTACAAACGAAAGCTCGAATCTCTCGCCTGATCCAGTTGCCACCCCTTAGCCATATCTCTTCAGCTAAGCTGCCGTAAGGTGAGAGCATTCTTCATCGACCATGGTGTCACGGAGACAAATCCACCATCCCTAGTTGCCAGGGATGGATTGCAGGATCTGCTGAGGGCTTGAAGTCTGAGGGCAATGAGTGCTTGGGCAGTGCTGTGAGAGTGGAATGGCCTGAGAATCTGGTTAATGACGGCTGCACATGGTTGCCAAAGTTGGTTGAAACCAAAAAGGCTCGCTGTGAACCACTAAGAGAACGGTACAGAGACACCATCAAAGGCTCGTTTTGACTTTTCTGGCACACCACTTCACCCAATGGGTAAACGAATCCTTAACGCGCGTTGCAACTACACCTGTATCTTCCTCCTGAATAAAACTATCGCCGGCTGTTGAGCAGATTGCAAGGTTCAAAGCATCAAATCAAGGTTACGCATTATGAGCAGCTCAACTCTCCGCTGAATGTCTGAATCTTGGTTGTGCAACTCAGCTCATTCAAGCCAATCAGCTGGATGTCAGCCATATTTGGCCATAAAGTCCTTGAATAATGCACCAACAAGCATGCATGTTCTAACATATTACAGATCTCCAGCGACAAACAACACATTCTAAGGTTTCTGATCCTGGAGAATCCTGCTGTGTTTTGTGTCCTTTTGACCATGCCCTGTAAAATAAGAAGCCACAACGCAATCCTAGAGCACGAGTACATGAAACAGAGCTAAAGTAGTTGTTTCCTTTCAGCTCTCCATTGCTCTGGAAAGCATCCGGACGGTGGACAAACATGCAACATCATGCAACTGAAGCCCTGGACGATTCGTGGAATGCGCCTCCCGCTTTTGACCACAGAGAAAAGTGTCTTCCTGAAGGCACCGTTCCCTGAAGTTGGGTCACTTGGCCATGCCTTCGGCAAAGAACCTGACCCCGCTTAAAAACCGCCGCGGTGTCAATGGCTCAACGAATGATGGAACTTCGAGGCGTCAACCTGCTGGAGCATCTCCACAACCCGCCGCATCTCGCGCATCCTGAAAGAGCTTCGCCGGAGAGTTCTCAGCAAAGCCGGCCCTGACCCTTTCCAGCTGCTGAACAACGATGGTGCCTACCTGGGCATAGCCCATCGTGCCAAATGCTTTCTGCAAGGACGCGTGAAAGCTAGAAGCCTTGGGGCCCAGCTCTCCTTGAGTCGGCGAGCTCCAAACTTGGAAGCGGTGCGAGAAGAACTTGTAGCGCGCACCTCCCGGGTGACGGCTTCAACGTACCGAAATAACAATGTGCTCTGTGCAGCTTAGAGTTTTCTTGCAAGTTGTTCCGGCAAATTCCAACCAACATACTGGTTGGAGACGAAGAACAGTCATTTTCAAGGAACCACAAAAACAGAAGGTTGTTCTTCTTCAAATGACCTGTGAGAGTTTTCATGGTCAAACTTCAGTTTACAAGCAGTGCGATTTGAATCACCTGAGCAGACCTACAGAGCTGTACGACAAATGTAAGAAGAACTTACTTTCTTCCTCCTGAGGTATAGCATGTATAGCCCCATCACCGGGCCCTCTGCACATCTCTAGTAGAACTGACACTGACAACAGCAACATGCAGAATGCAATCACTGTCAAAAGTGCTGGAGTATTGCTTGCTGAGCTCAACATAGACCCTGGCACACCCCAAAGAAAAACTGAACAGTAGATCCAAAGCAAGGCACCCATCCACATACTGTGAGACCCTCGATACAGAGCATCAGAGAAGCCCATCAGTACTTCCACCAGAAAGCGGGTCTTAAGCTCACCTCCGCGCAGGGCGATCAAGAAGCCCTCGCCGTCATACTCCTGCAAGATGCCAAAGCTGATGTTGTCATATTTCACCACGCCCAGCACACGAAACCAAGCATCCCCCTTGGCCGAGTTCACAGATGCCTGGCAACACAAACTTGATACCAGCGGCTTCAGCTCCTCAGACTCTGTCCTGGTGGCTGTCGCTAAGGCATCGAAGTATTCGACACTTTGCTCGGGGTCAGGGGCAATGGTGCAGTCCTCATACCGAAAAATTCGGCACCAGGCACGCTCTGCGACGACTTCATTCACCTCTGTCGTGTAGTCGTCTGGTGAATCTCTTAAGCGCATGAGGTCTTCATCTTCCTGGAGTGTCTTCAGCAAAGCAGCATAGTCAGCAGCCGAGACCGTGGTTGCAGAGAGCGCCCCAGTTCCAGTACTTTCCATCCAAACGCTTCCCTTGCGCTCATTGGCATCAGCAGGAACCTGCATGGTGTTCTCACCCGTCCATTGAATTCCGGGTGATGGCGCGTCAGGAGCTTGTCGGAGATCTAAATTAACTTTCCCTCGCGTGGCAAAGTTTTGAAGGGGATCCTCACCAGAGAGGTTTTGTCCATCGCAAACGAACTGCATGAACTCAGGCGGCCCTCCAAAAGCGTGTGCTACCATATCCTTGATGTCATCGATGCACAGTCCCTTCTCAATCTCCATGGACATATTGACTTCCGGATAGCCCCCGCCGCGGCTGTCTTGTACCGACAGTGTGAGCACCGAGGCGGAACCCGGGCGTTTCAATGCCGCAGCGGGCCGCTTCACGGCCGCAGCGGGCCGCTTCATGGCCGCAGCTGGGAGCTTCATGGCCGCAGCTGGCCGCTTCATGGCCGCAGCGGGCCGCTTCATGGCCGCAGCGGGCCGCTTCATGGCCGCAGCGGGCCGCTTCACAGCTGCAGCTGGCTGCTTCATGGCCGCAAGGGCAGGACAAGTCTACACCTAGCGGTGCCCAAGTGACAAAACCCGGGTCAAAGCATTCCAAATTGGGAAATTAGGAGGGGACTGTAATATTGCCCGCAATTATCCCTACAGCTGGTGTTGCGAGAGATCCTCATTTGGCTCCTGGGGGCGTGGTGCGTTCTCGCTGTTATTTCTTGAGTGAGGAACCAACTGACCAAAAATAATACCACTGCCAGTGCCACCGAAACACCTTCACATTCACCTGACATGACCAATCCGAGCACGGTAACGCACTCAGCTAAACTCCAGCTTAAGAAGATTGTACCGCACAACTTATTCATCGTGCTCAGGCCACTCAGTGTGGGAGCTCTGGCTTGCTTGCCATCGAAGAATCCCCTCTCAGGCTGATGACGGCAGGACGAGCGGCGAGCGATTCAATTCTCTAGATGAGTAAAGCACAGGAAAGGGCACCATCGTCCGGAGCTCTCTGCTCGCTTCAACTGGGCGCATCGTCCCGTTAAAATTGGCGAATACTGTATATCCGGACGAATTCAACTCTTCACCTGGATCACAACAGGCCTCCGTTTTCTAGTTCAAGGAAGTACAGACGTCTCAAAAGTCCAAAGTTCAAAAACCTAAAGGCGTGAGGCTCAGTCATGTATCTGTCATGCAACTCCCAAGGAACAAGGTGTTGTTCATTTATCAGATTGTTTTACCCCATTCCCGTTATTGTGGTTTGGGGCCTTGACAAATCCAGTGGAAGCTCGAAGCTCGAAGTTATCGGGCTGCGCAAAGGCTGGGCCATTTTTTGCTAAGACAATTTCCCTCTAATGGTGGCTTAACGAGAACCACCGGGTTCCAGTAATTAGTTCTGGAACCCTCTGGAAATGTTCATGTCGAGGGACCCAAATAAATATTGTGGCTCTTTCCGAAGAGCGATGAATTCAAGCTGCACTAAGACTCCAAACGCTTGGCGCTCGTCTTTGACAGGCCAGAGGCGCAACGACCAGGTCTGCGCACAAAGACCGGTCCAATCCGTTCCATTCAAAGTATGCAAAGGTGAAGAAGGCACTGCCCTGGCAAACAAGCAGCGACTTGTGCGATATGAACTCGTACTAGTGCAGAGAATGTGTCCAAACCGTTTCGCCTCATCATGCCAGCCTCTGCAAACGGTGCATTGATGCTTAACTCTTGAATTCACGAATTCAAATTGCTGCTAAGACGAAGCTCACAATGTCGTTGAGAACCTGGTGATCAAATCATCCAGGGCAAGTGGGAATATTCGCCACTGAATGCCTCACTCAAGGATTAGAGGCGAGCTTCAAGTTTCCGTCCCAAGCGCTGAGACAGCTGTGCCCTGCGATGGCAACACACAGGGAAATATTCACCAGAAAATGTGAACATATGGGACAATGATTAGGCTGACAATACACCCTTACGGTTGTCTGGCAGCTTTTGCCAAAGAAAATAAAATAGGATTGATGCCGAAGCCAAAGGCCACTTTTGTCGTATTGTCATTCATCTTTGTCGAAGTTTGAACCTGAGGCTGCCACTCTCACTGGGGTGCTAAATGCAGGCCATGAGCACTCTTAAGCTGGACTTACATACCTTTGCCAGGCTTGCATGCAAGTTCAAGTTGTTGCCGCACCCCACTAACTGAACAAACGTAACCTAATAACAAAGAGCCAAACCGCACATGCCAACACTAGTGAAGTCGGGCAATGGCGCCGCTCGATTCCGCTGCGCACCCTCGGGTCAGGATGAAGTGAGGGTGACTTTTCGTCTACATAACTGGGAAATAATCATTGACACAAACTCTTCGACACAGCACAACCTCAAAATAACAGGGTCTAGTCAAATACTAAGTTGAACGGCGCTTTCTTTTTTTAATTATACATGTATATGTGCATGTACCATACATACAATCGCGTCCCTCTTCAAATGCTGGCGGTCTATGCGCTGGAACATGTGTCAGGGAGCCGGGGTGGTGCTTGAATCCCTCTCCTGCAACAACATGAGACGCTAGTGCATCCAAGGCCCGGACAACTATTTCTCACAAGCTCCACTGTCCTAACCTTCAGTTTACTCTGATTGACTACTGATCACCGAAGGGCGTGCAGCGCCGCTTCGCCTCGTCCTTGTTCGGCTCGTTGAGAAGCTGGTGGTATGCGCCGTCGTAGATCTTCAGGCGAGGGTACATCCCCGACTCCTGGCTGAGTGTCACCGCGAGCTCTGCTCAGAATTGCTTGTCTTACGATCCTTACCCGTTTACTTCCAGCAAGGAGGAGGCCCCCAGCACCGCACAGCGAACCCCTCAGACACGATTCGCCTTGGCCAGGCTTGTCGAGCTGTGGCAAGGCCGAGGCTTCAAATTTTGATTTTGACACCATCGTGTCGGAGTCATGGTCCTTATGAGTACCTGTTAGAAAGGACTTGTCAGACACACACACACACAAACCTAATGCATATTATATACATGCTGGTTGAATAGCCCTTGGTTGATATTTGCAGTATACTGGTTTTTGGGCAATCACATAATAATATATGGCAACACAGTCACCAACCCAGGATTGATTCACACGTGTTACCCAGGATTGATTCACACGTGTTCCAACCTGACGGCTCACGATTCGGCCCAAACGCAAGTGTTCCAACCTGAGGGCTCACGATTCGCCCCAAACGCAAGTTGTTCAGGAACCTCATTGAGCTTGCATATCCTTTGCAGGGGCACGTTCCGTGCTGAAGTCATTCGACAGCCACCTGAAAGCATCGAGCAAGAGGCACTCAAGACCCGCAGAAGTGTAAGCAGATTTGGACTTTCAACACGTCCAGTGCTCGGACATCTTTGTGTTTGACTGTTTGCGCATTCATTGATCCAAATGTGCGTCAGCATAAGCAACAAGGTGAGCTCCTCATGTCGACAGTGCAGGTAACTATCCTCAGCAGGCTGCGTGTGTGTGTGTGTGTGTCCTGAAATTGCGGCACAGCTTGACACAGATTCGCAGCAGCGACAAACGTCGAACCAGGTGGGCCAACGAAGGCTGTTCGAACGAGCTTCTGGCGTAGTGCCGAGGCAATCGGAAAGCTGCAAACAAGACATGCGGAACAGGCGGCACGATGTCAAGCACAAGCACGCACAGGAGATGTGACGACAATGAAACACTGACTTGTTGCACACGGCGACGGGCGAAGATAATGTGTATGTGTGTGTATCCGTCGATATCACAATCTACCCACGGCTCCTGCAAAGTCAAGAACAAGCATGGATGACAGCATCATACCAATCGCCATGTAGAGGCAAAGGTAGAGGCAAAGAGCAGGAAAGGAGGGAGTTCCACACAACTCATGAGACTAATCACAGATTGAGATTCAGCCAAGTGCACAAGGAACCTGCCAAGCACCAACCAGCCCGCCGAAGCAACAAGCCGTTCGTTCAGCCACAGCAGGCGGGCAAGAGAGCGGACAAGTAGCCATGACACGAGGAAAACACGTCAGAAGCTCAGGACAAATAGTCCAACACGCTAAACATATCCGAAGGAAAAACTCATTCGCCAACAGAAGCAAAGAAGGCCCGCCTGAGCAGCGCCGCACCAAAGGCTGTGAACCTTCTGAGTGCCTGCGAGAGAGGGTCATCAAACGTGCCGAGCAAGGTATCCATGGCTGGGGTAGTATGCTTAGTCATCGTCGAGATGTCCAGCTTGGCCTAAATTCAGTAAATTATGTGTTAGCACGTTTGTTTTAAAAACTGCAACATATTATGATGTATCTGTCCTGCTATGCCTGTTCTCTGCAATACTTAACATTCCCGCCCAGAGAGTAGCCACAACCCGTTTGGAACCCTGCAATCTATCTTCTCAAATCCCATCCAGCTCGTCCCAAACGCGGGCAGCCTCCTTCCCTCAAATCTTGACATCCCCCCGTACTTGTCACTGTGACTGCATCCCTGAGTTACTGCCGTTCCGGTAATGGACCTGGGAACAAAAAGTGAGTGCCCCGTGGATTTGCGGGACACTGAGTGAATCCCCCCCTTCTGGGCCCATTTGACTACCGGGTACTTTAAGCGAACCACATCGAACCACCTATGATGTGTCCGGCCAAAGTCAGCCTTCCCCACTCCCAGGGCTGTGAAGGCGAAAGGTTGCCCTGACAGGGTTCTTGGCTTAGAGGCAATGGGAAACCCCATTTGAAGAATCAACTGGACGAACAGGAAGCGGGTGCCATTGGAACAACTGAGTGTGTTGGTCGGTCTTGAAGCCTCCAATCCTGGCCAACGCATATGCCCTGCTGCTCTTGCATTGCCAGGCCTCGCACTGAGTAGAGCTTGTCGCCGCCTCAGGAAAAAAAACGCAAACATTAAACTGCAAGGCAAAGACATAGCCTGGGAAACAAACATCTGGAAGTTTGCACTCGCAAGGTACTCCTGGCTTCTTGTAAGAAGCTTCATACACCCTTTGCTATATCAACCAGAGGAGAGAACAACACAGTAAATTATGTAGTAACATCCTAAAAACGATTATGTGGGCATAAACAACGCCTTATATCTGAGCCGTTGCACGCCCTATTAGCGACTCCCCAGAAGTCAAGGTAAGTCAGCCCGCACTGCACTGTGCACAAAATTCAGATCAGGATGGAGTACGGACCTGCAAGAGCATGGCTGGGAGCTGGGATGCAAGCTTCAAGCGCCCAAGCCGACCAATAAAAACCTAGAAACTCTGATGCTCTAGAGCCAACCTACAGTTGGCGCATTCTGGATTCAACATTCAAGATTCATCAGACCATGCATATACACATATATTATATATATAGAATATACACATGCCCCTACACAGTTATGTGATGCACATCATACGAGGATACTTGCAAACGCAAAAGTTTTTGTGTAGTAATATTCGTATACTTGGCCCCAAGGATGAACGCCTTACGTAGAATCTCGACACCACTTTGGTCATCATTCCTGAGTGCCAAAAGTGCATACGAACCCTACGAACCCCTTCTCAACACTTGGCCTGTTGACTGCGCTACAGCACATTGAACCAATTTCTGAAGAATAGCCTTCCATTCGCTGCTG